TGCCTCCTACAACAAAACTTGCCTGGGACTCTAAATAAGTTTGCTGGGACTCTGAGAAATGTGACCAGGTTTCAGCACCTAAAATTCTAAGGAGGGTTTAGAGAGGCAGGAGGCAGGACTGAACAGCAGGATACAATCTCTAGCACATGGATACACGAAAGGCGGAAAACAGGAGCGATTTCCTCGAATAGTCACTATGAGAATTAAATAACACTTGCAAAGTCCTCACTCAGCAGGGTGTACGACGTGACACGGGATTAGGGTTAAGTGCTTGGCATTTTAAGCTTTGGTTGCTGAGTGATCCATTTCAAAAGGCATCCCTCCTAAATAAGCATACTGCCCGGTTCTAGCAAAACAATCAGATGAGGAATCAGGCTGGTGAAGTTTCCCACGAAGAAGGTCCCTGTTTCAGAAAGCCCTGGGTCACCCACGGAGCTGCTCGGGTGACCTGCTTCTTCCTTCCTGCACCCTGATTCCTGGTCCTATGCTTGGGATTAGTCAACACAGAATGACCCTGTGAAACCCTAGACACCCCGCTCTCAGCCGTAATAAAAGCAGATCCCCAGGTCTGCTCTCTTTCTCTCTCTCCCTGCAACCTTGCGGTGTGTCGCCTCCAGGACCTGCCTGTTAATAAATCTTGTTCCTCTGCAGTCCCTGATGGTTTTTGCTGAATCGCATCCTGCTGTCATAATAAGAACCACAAGGGCTGGTGCAGCCACACCACTGGGGGAGGTGGCTGTGGGGGCTTGCGACGAGTAACATGGTCCCGGCGAGGGCCACAGGCACTCCAGGCCGACAGCACCCCTATCAATGTGCTGGGACCAACACAGCTCCATGAAAAGCCTTACTGGGTAGCTTGCTTTCTTTATCTGCCTGAGATAAGAACGGCTCATAGCTTTCAAGTCTGTCCCTGGGAGGGAGCACTAGATGATTCTGCACAGTTACTTTCCATGTGTCCCCATTTCACCACTACAAATCCACCGACTGTCCTTGCCCGAGCCCTGAGAGGCTTGCTCCTAAGGGCTAGTCACCTGGGGGTCCTATATGTCACTTGGCCTGTGGGAGCTACCGGCAGAGGTACAAGGCCAGACATGAGGGGGATAGGGCAGGGGTCCTCCCAGTCCCTCCCTGTTGAGGCCACTGAGCTGCCAGCAGCAGGGTGCCTCCCTGACCCAGTTCCTGCCAGCATCTCTCCTTTGCCACTGCCAGTCCCACTGGGCCCCAGCAGCTCCGCTCGCTGCGCTCGGCCCTGCGCCTGACTGCTGCAGCCAGTTTCTGGGAGGCCTTCCTTCTTTGGGTCACTTTACTAAGCCCACAGCTCTCTGTCTCTTCACGAAAGTACCTTGATTTCAACTTTCTGAGCAGAATTCTGTTTCCTGCTGGGACCCTTCCAAATTGCTCTGCTCGGGGTCATCTTCCTAAACACCCAGGGCCTGAGGTTCTAGAGCCATCAGTCTCCTTCATTTCCCTTCAGAGGGCTGGACGGAAATCCGGAAAGTCACGGCAGGGCCCAGCAGGTCAGGCCGTGGGTTAATGCTCAACTCAAGGACCAGACCCCCCTCTTCGTGGCAGAC